CACGGCTCTGTGACAGGAGATCAAAGGGAGATCAGTACACGAACTCCCTTTTGATCTACTTTCAGTCCACTTCCTGCAGTGTCACTCTCCCGCTACAGAAGCTGATGAAGCCGATCTCTGCTTCATCAGCTTCTCTGGGGGTCCCTAGGTGACATTAGGGGTCTTGGAGACCCCTGATGTCTTAATAAAGAGGACATGTCATGTAAATTGGCTATCACATAGGGGGCTTCTTAGCCCCCACATGTGATAGTAATAAAGTTTTGTTAAAAAAAAAAGTAATACAAAAATTAAAGAATCATAATAAAAATAAAGAAGCATTTAAAAAGTCCTCCGCCCCCCCCCCACATACACATATGCGCCTACGTGCGAAAACAACGGTTATGCCTATTGTGCCGCACATGTTACATATCACCGCGAACGTCGGAGTGAGAGCAATAATTTTAGGGCCATTAATTACTGATAACACTAAACTGATGAGCGGTAAAAACGTTGTAAGCGTCGCCTATGGCCAATTTTCAGTGTGGTCGTTTTTTTGCGGGCGCACGCAATTTTAAGGCTTGACATGTTTGGTGTCTATTTACCCGACATATCACGGATGGACTTATTACACAGGTGACAACCTATCCCGGTACCACTTGTAGTCACTGAGCTCCTGAGAGCGACCCATTCTTTCACAAATGTTTGTAGAAGCGTCTGCATGACTAGGTGCTTTATTTTATACACCTGTGGCCGTGGAGGTGATGTGAACACCTGAATCCAATGATTTGGAGGGGTGTCTCAATACTTTTGGCAATATAGTGTATGTGTGAATATATCAATATTAAAGATGCATGATATTGTTTTTTTCCCCCCGGTATCGAGTACCGATAACTATATTTTGGTACTTGCCGTTACCCTGTACTGATATAGGTACTTCCGCTAGCATGGGGCCGGCTTCCCCGGCAATCGGGAAGCCGGGTGGCGTGTCATTACCTGCCGCCCGGCTTCTTTGGCTGATTGGCTGGAAAGCCGGCTTCCTGGCCAATCAGGAAACTGGGAGGCGGGTCATTCCTAATTGGCTGGGAAGCAGGCTTCCTGGGCAATCAGCATCCAGCCGACCATACAGCATCGTATAAACTAGTATCTGTGCATCCCTTTTATAAATGTACATTTATATATTTTTTTTAGGAGGGGCTTAAACATTGAACAATAAAACAGTAGAAAGGCATCATGGCACACTCACAAACCAGCATGTAAAACAACTTGTCTCACCACTAAGGACAATGACAGAGGTTTGGATACACGTCTTCTGCAAAGATGTGTAAGCCGCACTGCCGCGCCAAGGCACCTCTTATAGTGCGGTCCTAACTCTTAGACCCCATTCACACCTAGCGACATACCTTTTGCAGCGGATCCGCACGGCCGGGATAGCGCGACTTTCGGGGCGACGGTAGCGCGACCTTCCCCGTCGGGCTCCGCCGAAAAAAGGGTCCGGTAGAAGCGACTTGCGACCGCGACGCGCGACATGGAGTTAAGACAGCTCCATTGAATAACATTGGCCGGTGACTTCTCGCGATATCGCGCGGCAAAAATGCGCGATATCGCAGCGGAAATCGCGCGACAATTCGCTATATGTGAACGGGGCCTAAACTATGAGAGTCTCCATCTTGGAGCACATGGGGGCAGAAGATATCAAAAAAAAAATTGAACAAAACACCCCAGGGGTTCTACTTTAACGTGGTTTTTCCGTTGACGCGTGTTGTGTTCATACATTTTAAACGTGCTGTCAATGAACGAACAAACACATGTGCACTATTTTTGGCAACACACCACGAGGCACGGATAATTTTCATTTGTACGTTGTGGTTCTGGAGAGCAGGTTAATTTTTAGTTACTGTATATGTGCCCTGATACACCACAACGCATATATTCCCAGTGCATAGAAGACTGAAGCCTGCAATGTTGTCTCCTCGCCATTGCTGCAACGCAGTATGTACAAGCTTCACGTGTGACATTGTGTGGATTAGATGGATCTCTGTCATGCCTGGGCTATTATCAGCTGGGTTATGTAACTGCTCTAATCTGCTCCCTCCTAGCCTGATGTGTTCTCTCCCGTGCTGTCAGGTTGGGTTCACACATAGAAGTATCTACATTGCTGCCCGCTGACATGTGCAGAGGATTTCATTTTCATTGATTTGAATGGGAAAAATGCAGTTGAGTGCAGCCAAAATGCAGTATATAGGACTTCATAATGTACTGGTGTGAGCAATGGGGTAGGGATGCACCGATACCAGTTTTTCGGTATAGAGTATGCAGGGTTTTTTTCCGGTACTGGACGCTGCTAATTAGTCCCATTGAGGAAGCCTGACGGCGTGTAATGACTCACCACCCGGCTTCCCGATTAGCAGGAAAAGCAGTCTCCATGCTCCCTCATCACCAGGTGACGAGGAAGCATGGAGCCAGCTTCCCGACCAATCAGGCAAGTCATTGAATGCTGCTCAGTTTCCTTCGTCACAAAGTGATCATGGAGCTGGCTTCCCGGCCTGTCAGGAAGCCGGGCAGCATGAACTAACTTGCTGCCCGGCTTCCTGATGCTGGAAGCTCGGGTATCAGGCTAGGCATCGGAGCATTTGGGCGAGTACGAGTACTCTCCCAAATACGTGGTATCGGCACCGATACTATTATCAGTGTCTGTGCATCCCTACAATGGGGGGGGGGATTTTATTCTATATATTTATATTAAGACTGGAGCAGCTGTGCAGAGTAACCAATCAGCTTCTATCTTCAGCTTGTTCCGTTAAGTTTTGAAAATGAAAGCCAGGAACTGATTGGTTGCCATGTACAGATGCATTTGAAAAATGCCCGGCAATGCATCTGGTGTGGGTGAGCCCTTATAGGACCCTCAAGACCGGATTCACACCACATCAGTTGCATTCAAGAAGAATTCTGGGCATAATTATTTTTAACACTTGCAGTGGGTTAAGTGCATATTTTTGTCTGGGGATGAAAATAAAAAAGTTATATTTACCTGAACCTTGGAGATGGCTGATTGTTAGACTGGATTCTGCCACTTTGCTCCCTCTTTGCTGCGGCAGTCTAAGGTCCTGTGAGTGATCAAGTTCTGTGCAGTGTGTAGGACGTGAGGAAGCCTAGGGACATTCCATTGCTGGAGAAAGGGGGGACAGGCGGCAGGGACCAGAGTAGCAGCCAGCCAGCTAGCTAGCTCCGAATTTTGGGTTAGTATATTTGTGTGATTTTCGTCCTTAGACCAGTGGTCACCTAAGATTTTTCAAATTGTTATGGCTGCCTTAGGTCCCTCGCCTGCTGGGGACCTTGTGGCAGCCTTCCAGGGATCTACAGCAGTGCCTGTTTACAGCGCTTCTGCTGGCTTGTACATCTCCCCCTTCTGAGACCCTTCACATCTCCCCCCTCCCGAAACCTTCCCCTGGAGACATTAGGCCGGCGAGAGCAGAATCACAGATGTAGCAAATTCATATCCTATTATTCTGCAGTGCTCTATAATGTATTGCTGGGATTTGTAGTCCTCCATAGCCAGTGCCATTCTGCATTGTTCTATAATGTATTATTGGGGATTTGTAGTCCTCTATAGCTGATGGTATTATTCTGCATTGTTAAATAATGTAATGCTTAGATTTGTAGCCCTCTATAGCCAGTGCTGTTGTGCATTGCTGTATCATGCATTGCTGGGATTTGTAGTTCTATATAGCTGATGGTATTATTATGCATTGCGTATATTGTGTTGCTGGGATTTGTAGTCCTCTATAGCCAGTGCCATTCTGCATTACTGTATAATGTATTGCTGGGATTAGTAGTCCTTCTACAGCCTGGAGTCAGTGGCAGAACTACCTGGGTGGCAGCGCTCGCAGCTGTGACTGGGCCCTGGCGCTCCACCACTGACCTAAAATCATTAGCCTGTATTGTTTCAGAGAAACTGTAACATGGCACTAAAAAAACGTATCGGTAATTGATATTGGTGCGTACTTGAGGAAAAGTATCGGTATTCGTACTCAGTCTGGAAAAAAATGGTATCAATGCATCGCTTTATAT